GTCTTTTTCTCTTTCACCAATCTTTCCAAGCATGATGTCCCTTTCCAAGGAATGGCTTCTCCTAGCAACATGTCTAAAATATGTGAGCCAGCACCTCACCATTTTTGTCTCTAAGGTGGACTCTGGCTGCCCTGTTTCCTTAATTCATAGTATCCTACTTAAGCTTCAAGATATTAAGATGTATTGAGCCCTATAAACCTGGCCACTGGAATGAAAAGCAGAACACAGATTATACTCATCCTGACCGTGAACCAGTGGATGCAATTCTGAAAAAAAAAAAAACAACCCTAAGGGTTAATTCCCTACATATCAGAACAACTCAACTTACTGCCTTGGAGTTGGAAACAACTCATAACTGACCCTCTCCTGGGATTTCAGAAGCTGTACATCACACGGGAGGAGATATCCATCTTTCTCCCAAGAAGTTACAGGCCACTTTCAGATTAGCACCACAACTTCCTAAAAACTACACCACCAGAGCTCCCTTCGTCTACATTACTCCAAGTGAAATGCAATCAAAGCATGGAGAAGATTCAGGAAGGGACAAGAGTCTAAACTGTGGAGACCAGCTGAGCATCCTGGGAGAAGAGGGGGCTTGAGCAGAAGGAACAATCTCGGGTTATTTTTCCACATCAGAAAGGAGACAAAAATAAATAACCCAATGTGTTGTCACTGAGTCACTATCAACTTGAAGAGACCCTACAGGACAGAGCAGACTTGCAGTGTCTGCTGACTACCACACCTTTTCCCAAAGATAAATTTGAATCAGAGGTCTTTCATTTAGCAGCTAGGCACTTACCCAAAATAAAAAATTAAACTCACTGCCATCAAGTCAATTCTGACTCACCACAACCCTACAAAGAAAAACTGCCACATCAGGTTTCAAACTCCAAAAGCCAAACTCACGGCCACTGACCCTTCTTCAGGATTCCAGTATTGTAAATCTTAACAGGAGTTGGCCATCTCTTTCCCAAAGAGCACATGGTGGATGCAAATTGCCAAAGACATAAAGGCCTTGTGATTAGTAGTATAACACACTATGGACTAAGCTATCACAGCTTCTGCATCCGGAGTACACCAACATCATGTTTACGACACTAGAAATTTTAACAGGAGCAGACTCCCCATCTTTCTCCCTCAGAGCAGCTAGTAGGTTCAAACAGTCAACCTTTCAGTTAGTCATAAAATACTTAACCCACTGTGCCACTAGGGATTCTTAAGAGGAAAATATATTATCTTCAAGTCTTGGATCTCAAGTGGACTATTTTACTGCATTAGACCTTTTAGATTGGCGATTAGCGAATATGTGCCAATGTCTGGATTAATTTCTGATTGTTACAACTTCAGGGAGTGGAGGGTGGTACAACTGGCACGTATTAAGTAGAGACCAGTATTGCTGCTAAACTGCATCGCATAGGACAACCCCCTCCCAGCAAATTACCACCGAGTCCAAAATGTCAATACTTCTGAGGAAAGGAAACCCTATTCTGAGTGAAACATGATGAAGGGTCAAAAGAGGAGACTGCATGTCGTATTCCATCCTAGATCCATCTGGTTCCTCCTGCCCAAACCCAACAAGCAACATTCCAGAAGAAAAGAAAAACCAGGTAGATATAGGTTAATTTTAAGTCATAAATCCAACAAGTAATAAGAAGTTCCATCCCATTTCAACCTTGGCTCCATCACCTGCTGTTGCTATTCAGGAGAACAGCAGGTATAGTGCTACACTCCCTTCTGTCTCAGCCCAGGAGGTCCATTTTGACCTAGTTCAATCTGGATCTCTATGGGGATAAGAGAAATGTCAACTCCTGCAAGACAGACCCAAAAGATCTTGCATTTATCCCTTCTGGTCACCTTTAAAGTCTTGAAACCAGTAGGAGACCCTTCCTTTTTATGTTGCTGACAAAACTTGTAATGCTTATGCAATGAAGAAAAGTTTAAAATAAGTTTTCCAACACCACTCCCAAGAAATATCAGGAGGCTAGCATGCAGGCAGCCTACCCCACCATAGGTTATCCTCTCATTCAGCAATACAGACAGGAATCTAGTTCTACCATTAGAAAAAACTGACCAACTTCTTCATAAGCCAAAATATGCCCAGCTTTCTGTAGCAGTCAGCCAAGTAAATGCCGCTTAAATTATGCAGAGATTCTAGATGAAAGGCACAGGTTAGTGGAGAAAATATATATCCCTCTAACCAGAAAATTAGAAAGAATGTCAGAATCCCGGTATCTGAAACAATGCCAGATACCAAGAGACTATCACTCCAGTAAACATAGTCCTGATCCCACTGGCTCGTCTGGTTCTGAGATCTTAACATACGGGTTCCAAAGAATAATTACTGATTCAGATGATCTGCTACATTTCCTGGACTTGTTTTGCTTTGTTTTTTTAATTTATTTTAGGAAGGTACAAGTCAGCCAAGGGCCAAATGACAATCTATATGTATCCACAGGATTTCATCTTGAATAGTCATTTTCTATTAAGATTCTGCTTTTGAGCAAAGTCTAGTTTCATCCGAAACAAGGATGCTATCTGTATCTTCAAGGGAGAACTAAATATGCCCAAATAAATATGACTCTCTCAGAAGCCAGTAGGAGGAATTCATGAGGAAGAACTTTAAAAAAGTGATGTTTTAAAAATAACATGGAAAAAAATATTAAAGATAGTTACAAATACTTAAAGAGTTTTCTTGCTAGTGGTACTCAGAAAACATAACCAAGTATCTGGGAGTCAGAATTAGACATTTTCAAAAGAAAGATCCCAAGAACTCAAAACAACTGAATGGTAAATGAAATTAAAAGCCTTCTCATGGAAGGTGCTTTAGCAACCTTCAAATGGCAACATTTGTAAACACTGTATTCTAATATGTTCCCTATGTTAAAAAGGTTTCTATCAAGCTGGCAAGGTTATAAAATCAAAAGGCAGCTTGATCCCAAACATCTAAATTCCCCTCTGCTTTCACACTTATGTGCAATCACCCAAAGAAACAGTAACTTTAAGGGGTCTTCTGCCCATGATTTATGCACTGCTGTTGGTTTCCAGTGGTAACCAACCCACAGCTGACCCTCCGCAGATTTTTAGAGGCAGTAAATTGCATGGAAGGAGATTGCCCATCTTCCTCCCACAGAGCAGCTGGTGTACTCTAACCACATGCCTTTGGGACTGCTGTGCATCTTCTTAGGTGAAAATTTATTTTCCCAGGTATTAACCCCATTCTAGGACCCAATCCCAACGTGTTTTTCATGTTATCTCTTCTCCCTTCCATTGCTTGAAAACAGTAAAAAATTCTAGACTTACCTTCGCAAAAAATTTAATTTGCCACGTTTCTTCCTAGTACAAGGTTCAAATCCAGCAGCAAAACAAAAAAGAGAGAAAGGTCAATTTTCAAATTCTAATTAGAAAGCCCAAAACCCCAAATAAGTAGTTAATTTCAGCCACAAAAATATACATTTTAAAAATAAAGCCATTTGATTTAAATTATGTACTGTCAGGTAAATGAGAGAACTCACATCCAAACCTTGAGGTTTCCCTAATTCTCCACTAGCCTTCAGAAAGGAATACCAAGAAAGGTTTCAAATTCAACAGTTTTTGGGGAAACAAACTGCCTTCTAAATCTTTCTCACTTTCCCCCTGAATTCTTTATGAGACATACCTACTTTGTGACAATATTTACTTTTATTTTCCCCATAGAGAACTAGTAGGAAAAGTGGTCAAAATCGAAGGAGGCATTTTCTTCCCATCATCAGGCTAGAATTATCCTGATTATCTTTACCCTTTCCTTTATCTATCATACAGTTACATACTGGACAAAATAGTGGGCAGTATCCACATTTCATTCGGGGGCTTCTGTCTATGCTTGCATACTGACTTCCTCCACATAGCACTTAAAACAGTAAAAGTATTTGGAAAATTAAAGCACTCATTTAATTAGTCTTTGCAGCCTAGATGCCATCCTGTTTTTTTCTATTCCCCCTTCAGCTTTCCAGAACCTCCAATATAGCCATAGCTTTTTCTCCATTCTTGCATTACTAACTGCTAAAAACTAGAAAAGTCCTTTACTTCTTCACACTCAGTCAACACCAACTTCCCCATTCCCCTCTCTTTTGGTAACCAGGAAAAACAAGGAAGCAATAAGCTAGGGAGCCTTTGGAAAGCAAATCCAACTTAACCCTCATCCAACCCCAATTCTCCAAACTCACATGACTATTCCCTTCTGCCCTTCCCACCCTATTAAAAGCTAAGGGTCTGGCAATTAGAATTGGCTGCAACTGATGATGCTTAACTCCTTTCTTTCCACGAAAGGGAAACCCCTGTGCCTCTATCACCCGTAATACTCCACTGTCCTGTCTCCCATCCTCTTCCTCCCAAACTTTCCTCCCAGTCCCTCACTTTCTCCATTACCTCGTCACACCGACACTCTCCATTCCCCACACCTTCTTCCCCTTCCTACCCAAATTCTACCCTAAATCCTTTCTCCTTCCCCCAATTTAACACTTTCAAAACCTTCCACCAAAACGTCTTAGGTCCCATACTCACCTTTTCCACCTTCATACAACACCCACACGCACACAAGAGTGCGGTCCACCCTCCAACCGCATGCCACCAGCCCCCTCTGCCTTCACACCCTCGGCCTAACCCCCTCCGCTCCTACTCCCCTCCAGGCGTCCGGATCGCAGCCCCACTACCCACCTCGGCCTCTCTTATCCCCCTCGCCCGGCCCAGCCACGGCCCTTGTTTACGCCCCTCCTTACGTGCCCGCTCCGCCGCCTCGACCCCTGCCCTCTCCCACAGTTGCCATCTCCCCCGCACGACCCCCTCGGCGGCTCCCCTCCCCCACCTCGCAGCGTCCCGTCACCTCCGGCGCTGGAGGTTCTCAGGCTGGACGTCGCCACCGCCTCCCCCTCCACTTTCCTTCCCCAAGCCCTTTGCGGCCCCGCCCGGCCCCGCCCCGTCCCGCTCGACTCCCCCTCCCCACTCCGGCCGCCCCGTCGTCTCACTCTCGGCTCAAGCTCGGCGCCGCCATGTTGGATCCATCCGCGCCTCGCTCCCGGGCCTGCCTCCCGGGGCCGCATCCGGGCTCCAGTCGCCGCCGCCGCCGCCGCCGCCGCGGGCGTGGGGGAGGGGGAGGCGGGCGGGGGTGGCTGCATCCTGAACTGCGCCTCCCGGAACCTGGTCGGTTAGTGGTGGCTTCGAGACCATAGTGAGAAATGAGCCGGAGGAGCCATACTAGATGAGGGCAGCCTGGCACAGGCATTAAGCGGGGAGCGCAGAGCTTCGCTTTGGGAGGAGAGGCTTGAGATTGGCAGCCATCTTGCTTTGGGGCAAGCTGGCAACTCGGGATTTTCCTGACAGCGGCTTCAGGGCCGTCGTAATGGGGACAGGGAAGCGTTCTTGAGTGTCGAACGGTTGGTGGCGCCGGAGCTGGCTGCGGTCGACTTCAAGACCCACTGCGAGGCCAGGGCAGCCATGACGCGTAAGGGCGGAATAAATAGCACGGGGGTCGGAACGACCCTCGAGCTCAAAGGTGCAGGATCTGAATGTGACCTTTGTGCTGAACTTCCTGGTAACCCGGACGTACCGTGACCTGGGTCGGGAGTTGAAAGCCTTTCTCACATCTTTTCTCGGATTTCCTTTTTTTTTCAGTATATGCCTTTTGAGCTCTCCCCCCCCCCCCCAAAGGAACCGCTACCTGAGCTGAAATCTGAAGAACTGTTGGGAATTAGGGGGCCGAGTACGTTCTGGAGCTGCCAGCAGCCTGGTATGGCTTTTTTAAAAAAAGAAAAGCAATAACTGAGGCCTCTTAGATAGGCAGGAGCCAGCTCAGGGAAGGCCTTGGAATTGACTTCATCTTAAAGGGTCTCAGAAATGTGAATAATTATGTTCGCGTTTTAGAAAGATGGGTGTCTGGGGGAGACATGTCCAGGACAGAGGAGAAAAATCGGGAGGCTCTTAGCCAGGCGAGTTATCACAGTGCTTTGACCTAAAGAAAAAGTAGTGCAAATGGTGAAAAATAGATTGAATGTGGGAGTATGAGCCAGAGGAGCCCAGCATGATTCCCGGGATCGGAATTGGTTAACTGGAGGATAATAATGCCATTTTTTGTTTTGTGTGGGGCACGTAAGAGTCTTTTTTGAGCATTTTGAGTTTGCAGTGTCTATGGCTCATCGATTAAAAAAGAGAGATCCACTAGACAACTGAATGTTAGATAATGTAGGTTTAAAACAGATGGGGGGGCTGTGTATCACAACTGAAGTCATGACATATAAGATGAAAGAAACCGGTATTGAAAGATAATTTGAGAAAAACCAATGAGTAGACAGGGCAAACAAAGGAAAAAAAAATCAGAGAAAACTGTGGGAGAAGCTGGTTAAAATATAACAAATTAGGTATATATAAGAGCTAAAATGTGTCCATTGGCTTTTGCAATATTTAGTAATTTTAAAGTTTCAGATAGCAAGGTAAACAAGAGACTGACTTTAATTAAGTGGCTGGACAATCATAATGTATAAAGTTTTTTTTGGGTTTTTTTTTCCAAATGTAAAATGGAGGCTAGTAATAGGACTGTAACAGGAGGAATTCCAAGACAAAGAAGGCATTTTATAGCAGACACCTATGTAAAGCTATCCTAAAAACAATTGATCATGCAGATCTAAAACTTGGGAGAAAAAAGTATTAAATCGACAATCAGCAAATGCAAAAGGTAGATGTAGCATTTTCGCATATGCATTCAAAATCACCTTTGAGGTGAACCTAGGGTGTGACTCTATTTTTTTCTTTTGGGCCCCTCTACCTTATTCTTAAATTTGCTTTTCACCTGCATCACTTTTATTAGTAACTGCTTTTTAGATTACAGTGATAATCCAGAAATTCTGAGTCATCAGTATTTCTCTGATAATGGAAGCCATAAATTAGGCCCCTCTGAGAAGAGCAGAGTGTTAAGAATGCTTTTAAGGAATTAAAACTTTTAAGGCATAAGGAGAATAGCACTTGGAGGACCTTTACCAAGAAGCAGCCAGTGAAAAAGAACAAAAACTAAAAGATAATTATCACAGAATATTTCAAGAATAAGAGTATTTCAAGAAGGTAGAAGTTGTCCCCAGAGAGGCAGTTAACAAGAAAAGCACTTTTAGCTCTAGACCTAGCTTTACTGAATAATACGGGTTACCAAATATTCAGTTTTCCTCTGGGTATCATAGGGAGCCCTGATAATCTAGTGGGTAAGAAAGGAATTGTGCTGTCAACCTAAAGACAAGGCATTTCAAGTATACTCGCTACTCCAGGGAAGACAAATGGGCAATCTCTCTGATTTACAGCCTCTGGAGAACCACTGGAGTGTTGGCATGTAACAGCAATTGTTCCTGTAAAGCACTGATTTAAAAAAAAAAGTTCCAAGCATCCAACTTTCCAGAATACCACTGTATCATCTCCGACATCACTTATTCCTCCTCTAAGCATTTAATAGTTCCTTTAAAGCAGGGGTTAAAAATTTCCATCTTCTCAAGAATGCTGTACCACTCCATCTCTGACATCAATTATTATTTTTCCTCTAAGCCTTTTAACTCTCATCTGTATCTTTGGGTTCTTTAATGTACTGAAAGAGCTCACAAAAATTAAAAAACCACCAGGAAAATAGCAAGGTTGAAGGGGTTATAGGTCAGTGGTTGCAGAGGCTGATCAAAGATGGACTAGGTGCCTGTGGGCCAAGGCTGTAGGAGCAGGTGAATCAGATTAGATGTCATGTCCCAAGTAAACAAGGATTGTGGAGCATTCCTCTGTATATGATCTTAGGGCTGTAAACCACACCCCTGAGAGAACTAAGACTTGGGTCATTCCTTCTCATAGAGAAGCCTGGCTTGAAGGAAGTGCCACCAGAGTGCTCCTTAGAGGCAAAGATGGTGAAATTTCATCTCACTTACTTTGGGCATAGTTTCAAGAGGAACCAGTTCTTGGAGAAGGGGTATCATGCTGGAAAAGGTAGAGAATCAGAGAAAGACCGACCCTTAACAAGATGGCTTGATGTGTCTACTCCAGTGGGCTTGAACATGATGAGATTGTGAGGAAAGTGCAAGATAGAGCAAGGTTTAGATCTGTCATATGGTTGCTGCGAGTCAGTGGCAGGCTGGCACCTACCAACAACAATCAACTTTTGCTAATGGCCTAGTGGGTAAGGGAAGGAATGCTGGGGGCCTTGGAAGGAGCTGTGCAGCCAGCCCAAAGACACACAGTTCATGCAAATCCACCAGTTACTGTGCAGGAGAAGGATGGGCAGTCTCCACCCATGTGATTTACAACCCCTGAAAGCCCATCGGGGGGTCACCTATGAGTCAGTTTTACCTTGACAGCAGTGAACAGTTAAACCCACTTTTGTGGTCTGAAATTGATCAGATATGCACTCAAGATGCATAACTGGTGACCAGACTACGAAGATTGGAAATGAAGAGTCCCATCAAGTTGACTACAACTCATATTTATTAGCCTAATGAAGAATAGCTCTGAACCTTGCCCTATCATGTAGCCATCCTCATGATCTCTCATTATTCCTGAGCCCATTTTACAGTCACTGTGTAAGTTCCTCTTGTTAGGGGTCTTCTCTTTCTCTGACTAAAAAAAAAAAAAAACAAACAGTGAATGTAGTGTTGGAATGGCCAAGTCTGACTTCTCTCTCCTAACTCCACAATGGGAAATTGCCCTCATCAGCAGCATCCACAACACTAAGCCAATTCCCATGAGATCAGACTTGTTCCCCATGCTCCTCTGCCTAATTCTACTATCTAGCACCAATCCTTACTGCTCTACTGTGTCAAAAATCTGCACCTGACAGAAGCATGCAATTATGGGGTTTAGTAGGGAAGTTTAACAGGTTACAACCCATGTTGGTAACAGGATACAGTTTCTTGGTCAGGACAGCTGCTTAAGTGCACTCAGAGGCCCTTCATCCTTCAGCATTGCAGCTTTTGGTGTTTCAAAGATATCTTAATGCTGCATATTAAGACTTCTCCCCTGCTCAGTCCCTCCAGCAAGCCTGGGCCAAGGCCCTTGGCTTTGGCTCTGTCTGGAAGAGCAGTTCCAGTTCAGATTCTGTCTCATGTCAGATTTTTTTGTTCTCGGCTCTCATTGCTGTTACTGCTGTACTATAGGCCTTTAACTGGTACAAGAATCTCTGGCTCCAAAGGACATACACTGCTTTGTCTCCTCTTCCTATCTTGGTGGTGGTTGTTGGTATGTGCCATTGAGTCTCCTGCGACTCATAGCAGCCCTATGTACAAAGCCCTAAACTCTCCCATATCCTGTGCCAATCTCACCATCTCTGACACACCTGCCCATTATTACCCCAGTCACTGAATCAATCCATCTCATTGAGGGTCTTCCTCTCCTGCACTGTCCCTCCACCCTCCCAAGCATGATGTCCCTCTCCAAGGACCGGTCCCTCCTTACAACATGTCCAAAGTATGTCAGATGAAGCCTCAGAATCCTTGCCTCCAAGGAGCTGCCCGGCTTAACCCTCTCCAGGACAAACCTGTTCGTTTTCCTAGCAGTCCATGGTATGTTCAATACTCTTCTCCAACACCACAGCTCAAAGGCATCAATTCTCCTTCTATCATCTCTAGTCATTGTCCAGCTCTCTGATGCATAGCAAGTGATTGCGAAGACCATGGCATGTATCAGGCGCACCTTAGTCTCCAAACTGACATCCTAAGTATCTAACTGCAGACTTTCCCATCACAATACATCTTTTAATTTCCTGACTGCTGGTGCCTAAAGTGTTGACTGTGTAGAGTGTTGACTGTGGATCCAAGCAAGCCAAAACTGTGAACAAACTCAATCTCTTCGTCATCAGTTATGATGTTGCCAATTGGCCCAATGGTGAGAATCTTTGTTCTCTTGATATTGAGTCTCAATCCATACTGAAGACTGCTGTCCCTGACCTTCCACAGCAAGTGCTTCAGGTCCTTTTCGGTTTCAGCAGGCAAGATTGTGTCATCTGCATAATGCAGATTTTTAATGATTCTTCCTCCAATCCTGATGCCACATTTCTCCTCATAGAGCCCAGCCTCCCGGAAAACCTGTTCTGCATAAAGATTGAAAAGGTATGGAGATAGGACACATTTCTGGCATACACCCTTCCCAATTTTG